AGAGCCTCCAATGCTTAAGTCAGTATGTGTATGAGTATACTGGAATTTAGAGAATGAATAGAACGTGTTAAGGAAGAAAGGCTCATCCCCTTTTTATAGGGGTGAGATACTGCCCTAATAGCTGCTCGGATAAGGATACGTGTGCTGCCCAAGCTGCCCGTCCGTACTCTGACACGCCGCGCACATGTCAGAGGTGCCGCGGGACGTTTGGGCGTTGTCAGAGGTGGTTATCGCTATCACCCAATACATTGTCGACACGTGTCCACCCGGTACATGGGGTAAATATTCTCCTGAAGCCCAGTCAGAGACCCTCACGCGCGTCTGCTATACACGCGTCTGGGCTTATGTTGATCAGCTTGCTCGATCACTCAGCTTGTTCGATCACTTATCTGATCGACTGATGGGTAGCTCGAGCAGTCTGATCGAGCACCAGGCTACTCGAACGCCAGTGCAGTCGAGCTTTGAGTTGTTCGACCGCTTATGTGGTCGAGCCCTGGGGCTGCTCGATCCCTTGGATTCCCGCCTCTCGGCTTGGTTTGCTCCCGGTCTGCTCTTCTCGACCGGCTCACCAAATCGGTTCGTCCTTATACAGATAATATCCTATCTTCGCTTTCTTCTTCACATCTTTATTCCTCCATATCTTCTTTCTTCTTGTTCTCTATTTTCTTTCGTTCTCCATCACATACACACACCACGCCCACGGTGATGAAGAGTAGTCGGAATCGCTCGACAACGATGAGAAGTGACGACCAATTGGCCATAGCATACCACTAGATCTAAGAAATTAGATCTACAAAATTCAATCGATTAAAATTCGAAATTGAAATATTTAGGTAAGGAGATCCTTAATTGATTCATTTATACTGGGATAGTTTGTTTAGAGTTTTTTTATTTTTATTTTTTTTGTCCTATTGTTTAGGTAAGGAGATCCTTAATTGATTCATTTATACCAAGAAAAAAGGAAAAACCGTTACATCCCAATTCAGGTAAAATTGAAATATTTTTTGTTTAGGTAGGCAATTTTATAAATTAAAATATAAAGGGTATATATGTGTAATAAAAATTATAATAGGTGGTAACGGGTGCAAATTCCTCTATTGAGGAAATTGCATCGTGCACTATACATATAATTTTTTATTACATAAATAATGTTCCCTTACAAATATTAGCAAATGGACTAAATCTACAGATATTATTTGCAAAACTACAATAATTGACTATGAGATAGGAAATTAACTCAATCCTTATCTGTTCACATCTTTTTCGCTTTCTTCTTCACATCTTTATTCCTCCATATCTTCTTTCTTCTTGTTCTCTATTTTCTTTCGTTCTCCATCACATACACACACCACGCCCACGGTGATGAAGAGTAGTCGGAATCGCTCGACAACGATGAGAAGTGACGACTAATGCAAGTGTAAGCGTCCGGGTCCGGTTTGGAGTAGATCGATTCTTGTCCTT